ACAAGTGTCAAGTAAAACAACACAGATGCAGTTCAGGAAGAAACACAAACTTAGTGAATGCGTAATAAAAACAAAACTATAATAAAAATTACAAGTATTAACAATTCAAATGTAACCAAAATACAACAATGTACGACTAAGGGGATCAATAGGAACAAAGTACAAGTATATACATGGAGGGATTTTCACCAATACACAAAACATTCAAAATGGATCTTACAACAAGTTCGACAGTTACTAATATGAATATAACCAAATCACGAGACTCTTGGTGACATGGCTCAGAATCGATCACAATGGCGTCGGTGTATACACTCCCTGTCTTCCCTTAAACTAAGAGATTAAAATCACTTCATATCTTTCTTTCTACGAACTAATTCTTCCTTCCTATACTATATCCTTATTGCAACCTTTGACCTAACCACTCCTATGAATCCGGTGTTCATCTTGTTGTGTTAATGAGGTATGGCAACCTGGACCGATGCACATATGTGCCTGGTCCTACGTTGTAGCTGACTGACTGACTGACTGACTTTCCTATTATTCATTGTTTATTAATCATGAGCTTATGCTCCTAACCCTAGCTTTCAGTTCCCAAATCTCTACAGGTTAAATGTACATTATTCTTCCTAAAAGTCATGCCTTCTTTTCTACTGCAAGTAGACAGATAACTCAATCTTATGGATGCTGATCTACTGAGGCCAATCATATAAAGCTCAAAATTTGGCCACAAAGTCTTGTGAGTTTCTCAATGTTTTATTTGTCTTACCCTGAAATCCTTTTTTTTCTACAATTTTATACCCTCTCATATCTTTTGATTTGCTATTAGTCCTTACTTCTTTAAAGCATTATTTATTTTCATAGCAGTGTGATATACTATATGGACATCTAACCCATAAAACAGACTTTTCAACTATCTGATTTGCTTGTAACATGGACCTAGTAGAAACAGTGTATTCCAACCATGGGCTTTGATTAAAGCAGTATTCATACTTACCACAAACGTGAGAGAGCCTAACATCACAAAAGGAGGGAAGGTGGCGTTACTGACCAGCAAACATGATGGTGGGGAGATAAATTCAATCCACCCATGTCTGTAGGGCAGAACAATTTGTTTAATTACGGCTCCTTATGGTTTAGTGGGATGTCACGAACTTATGGTTTTGATGCTGATTTATCACGCAAAATACCTCATTAAATCGTGTTACGAACGTTGAATTGGTTTCACTTCCTACCCAGAAATCCTATTACAAGCAAACCAGACAATTCGCGAATATACGAAGCCTACTCAAGACCCTATAATACCTGAAAATAATAATAATAATACAAAAAAAACGAAAGGCGCTCTAATAGCTTCGATAATAAAAAAGATAGCCAAATGTATATCACAATACTGTTTCTAGCACTATCTTTTATTTTATAACCACACATAATCCCATACTCTCAGCTCCTTTCCGAATCGCCTCCATTTGTCAGTTGTATGTCCACTCACACCTTGTTACCACTTATTTTCTTTAACCTATTAAAATGCTCTTTCTTAACAAATACCTTAATAAAAGAAAATTAGACTGAGTAATCATACCTTAAACATTCCTTCATGAATATTGGCTACTCTGCCTCTCATGTTTTCTTTTACTTCAGTTTTTCAGTTTCAGTTTGGGAAGGACAGGAGGCTCGATGGCCTATGTTAGTCCTGGCAATGGTGGTCTCTCAGTTGATCCAACTTTCTTTTGAAAGAGTCGACGGATGGAGCCTCAACCACGTGCTGAGGTAGTGAATTCCACTCGTTGATGATTCGATGTGACAGTCGATAGTCAGCTGACAAGTAATTTGTTCTCGGCTTGTGAACTTTTTTGGAGTGTCCTCGTAAATTCTCTGTTTTGGAAGACAAGAAAAATGAGGGCATATCAGGTGCAAATTTATCACTAAGCAATTTGTAGACTGTAATCAAGTCGCCTCTAGTTCTGCGATAAGACAACGGGAAAAGGTTCAGCTTGGCCAGTCGAACTTCATACGGAAACTTCGCTATTCCGGGAACCAGCTTAGTCGCCGTTCTCTGAACCTTTTTCAGAAGCTCACTGTCTTTTTTTAAGCAGGGGCTAGCCGCTTGTATGCAGTACTCAAGTTTAGAACGAACGAACACTGTATACAAAGTCAAAAACGTCTTAGCGTCGACATGACTAAAAGCTCTATGTATTGACCATAACGTTCTAAAACTTTTGGCGGCTATTGCACGGCAGTGTGCAGTAGTCTTTAAGTCTTGACTAACGATAACTCCTAAGTCATTATATGTCTGGACGACAGGTAGCTCAGTGTTATTCATCGTGTATGTATCTGTGCCTTGATGACCGATATGCATCACATCACACTTGGAAGTATTTATCGGCAACTGCCAGGTTTCAGACCATTCAGATAATTTATTCAGATCATTTTGAAGTTCTAAGCTATCACCCTCACACCGTATCGTTCTCCATATCTTGACATCGTCAGCATATAGCAAGACCGATGATGATAGGAGACAAGGAAGGTCATTTACATACAAGAGGAATAGCACTGGCCCCAAAACTGTACCTTGGGGCACTCCACTAAGCACAGTTTCCCAGCTAGATAACTTTGAGTTCACCCGAACTCTTTGTTGACGCCCAACTAAGAAGTCTTTTATCCACATCAATAAATTGCCTCTAATCCCAACTTTTCTTAACTTATATAACAGCCAGTTGTGCGGAACTTTATCAAAAGCTTTACTGAAATCAATGAAGGCGACGTCTACAGGTAGCTTTTGGTCCTTAAGAGCACACCAGCTTTCACGAGCCACTAATAAGTTAGTGAGACAAGAATAACCTATTCTGAAGCCGTGCTGCTTCTCCGAGAGGATCCGGTTTTTATCGAGATACTTAAACAGCTCCTTCCGAATAATCTTTTCTAATATTTTAACAACCACACTAGTTAGGCTAACGGGGCGGTAATTCTCAAGTTTGTGTTTCGTGCCTGTTTTGAAGACAGGACTTACTATGGCATTTTTCTAATCTTTCGGTAAGCGACCCTGCGTGACGGATAGGTTAAAGCATGTACTTAAAGGGCTTGCAACGAAGTTAGATAATTCCTTCAGTAGCCTAGGATGTAATTCATCGGGCCCCATGGATTTACCTATGTCAAGCTTATTTAGCAGACCAAAGACATCGAGTTCTTTAATGGCCACGCTATCCAGTGTATGTATGGGGGATCTGTATACGCTGACGAGAAGGGCGCTTCTATGGTATACACGTTGCTAAAGTAGTTCGAGAACGCTTGAGCCTTACCAAAGTCGTCATCCACTAATGATAAAGCAGTACTGTCTCCCCATAGAGCAGGAATATTTCCTTTTCTCCTTGTCCTTTGGTTTATATAGGAATACAAGCGTTTAGGACATTCTATGGATTCCTTAACAAGTTTTTCTTCGTACAATTTTCTAGACTTACGGAGGGTCGAGGCACAAGTGTTCCGAGCCTTTCGATACTGAGATTTTGACTCATCAGTCCCCAGTAACCTAAATCTATCCCACATTTTCCTTTTCTTACGGAGAAGGATACGGACCTCCCTACTGAGCCATGGTGGTGAGTTTTTCGGCCCCTTTGATATAGTCCAAGGGATGTGAGGTGTGGTAACTTTTAAGTATGAATTTCGAAATGTGTCCCAGGCCGTTTCAATGGAGGACTCTGGGTCTATTGTCCAATCTATTAACGATGCTGAGTGCATGATGTCTGGTATGTTTGCTTTCCAGACGTTGGGTCTGTACTGGACTGACGCGTCCTCATGACTGGCAGTTATACGGAAGTCGAAAGTTAAAACTGCGTGGTCACTTTTACCTAAGGGTGGCATATGATGGAGGTTCGCAACATCATCCTCATAGTGAGTCAGTATAAGATCTAATAAGGATGATTTAGTGTCCGGATCGTACCTTGTCGCTTCTTTCACATGTTGCACTAGAGCACATGTGATAACCGCATCAACTAGTTCCTGCTCGAAGGAATTCTCCGACGATTTAGTTCGCAGATTTTCCCAGTCTACCATAGGTGCATTAAAGTCCCCTAGGATTAGACATCGACCACTTTGGGACCAAGTATTGAAACTGCTTAACAGGATCTCATTTGCCTCACAGCTTGGACTGCGATAGACCAAACCAATCAGCAGCTCTTGTCCCTTGCATTTTAAGCGAAGACTAACTAATTTACACGTCCCACACATGGGATACACTATCGATAATGGTAAATGGGATAGCATTCCTAATGAATAGAGCTGCTCCCCCTATACGCTTTTGTGTTCTATCGGCCCTTACTAACGTAAAACCCTCGAAATCAAGTTCTATACTATCTATAGCCTGTGTCAGCCAGGTTTCTGTTACTGCGATTATATCTGGCTTTGTAGAGTCAATTTGTACACCTAGTTCCGATCGCTTATTAAGTAAGCTTCGTGCATTGGTGTAACAGATCCGAAGCCTCTTTAAGTGCCTTCGTGCTTCACCCAGAGTGGCTTCGGCATCATTCTCTGTCGAAGTCTTACAACCCGAAAATTTACAATTTTCAGGTCCTTTTCGCCAGCGTCTAACCTTCGTTGTAGTTCTTTCTCGGCTTCCCGTCTTTTAACACGGTCTGCCAACGGTAGGTCCTTTCGGATAAAGACTCCTGAACCCTTTAATTTGTGTCCATTTTGTAAAATTAGGTCACGTTCGTTCGAAGAGCCGAATACTACTTTAAGCAGTCTGGAATGATTTGGTTTCGAGTCCGTTAGACTACCTAGTCTGTACACCTTTAGCAAGGTGACCCCGGTCATATTTTGAGGCATGAGTTGATTAAGCAGCTGCACAATCAGTACAATGTCATGCTCAAAACGAGCTTTAGGTTCAGATCTATCGCTCTCCTTGATTCTATGAAAAATAGCTGATCTGTCGCTATGATCAGCTTTCGATTTTTCAACCACTTTTACGGGGGCAGGGTTCCCTTTTATATCCCTACTTTTCTTTCTTACAACCTGTACCCATTCGTCAACGGTGCTGGTAAAAGCAATAACAGTTGCGTCAAACCTAGTGTTGGAATTTGGGGGGTTGTCGACGACCTGAAAGGTCGGGTTATTTTCACCGCTTGAAACCGATCGAGCCTTGCGATTGCGGCTCCTAGGTGTTTCCTGTTGGATCCCATCTGGGAGACGAGAACAGAAGACCCTACGTTTCTTGAACTTTTGTTTAAGGCAGGCCCCATTGGAGACTGCTTTTCCTTCTTTGACGGGCGTGAGTCATTTATCATCGGACTAACCTTAGTTTCCTTCACGTTGATTTGCGTGTCAACAGATCGAGTGCTGTTTGACGCCTTCCGACTATGCTTGCTAAAACACTTCTTCGCAGCATCAACCAGTGAGATGGCCTCGGTTAGCAAGCTGTTTGCATCCGAGCAGCACTGTTGACAAAGCCACACACAACCCTTCTTACTGAACCGTTTGAAAGCAGCAGGCGTTAAGTTCGTGCAAACTTCATGGTACCAGCCTTTGCACTCGTCGCACTGCATGCCGCTTTCAACAGGATAAAGACAACCCGGACGTTGACAACTGCTTTTTTTACACTGTCCGGTCATTTTGGAGGGTTTTTTAAACTGTGATGATACTCAGAACAAAAAAAATTTTATCAATGACCAAAAGTGAAGAGCTGTAGATTGCTAGGACCAAAAGTACTAACAGATACAGTTGAAAAAGAGGCACACAAGAGTACCAACGACAAAACAGTAAAAACGATACTTTAGTCAAATACTTTAACTGAAATAAATTCAATTAAAGTGAAAAACAGTAGTCTTGATACGTAATAAACGATCAAAACAAAGAAATTTACTCGGCGAGGAAAAATACCACTGTACTTTTTAAATAGCTCCCTCTTTCAGCCCCCTTGAGATATGGAATGGGTGACTTCATCCTGCAACATCCTTAAAGCCTTGGATATCCCAAAGGGACATAAGGTTGCGATTTCTAGAAGCTCATACCTTCAATGGACCTATCCTTGGCCATCAGTTGCACATTTGCAACGCAACTTTCATGAAGCGCGCCAACTGTAGTACCGATTAAAACCATTCTACATTCATATCTTATAAATTATCAACCCAGCTATGTAATTTACTACAGTGTATACTGTGTCAATTGTATCAATCTAATCTTGCCTGTAAACTGGCATGCCTCATGTAACAAACTGTTATTTCTGAATAAATTATTATTATTATTATTCCAAGTGGAAAATGATTTAGGAGTCCTGGTGCCCGACGAGTCAAAGTCCTACGTTAACTATGATGGAAATTCCTTTCGAGAAAACCTTCTGCTGATAATATTGAGGCGCATTCTTGACCAGTTTAACGGAAGAACTTCCCATATAATCTTCAGTAGTCATATTCGTCCCCATTTAGAGTACAGAAACATCGTATTTCCTCCTTCACTCCAAAAGGATAAAAAACTCTGGAGCGTATCCAATGGCAAGCCACGAAATCAGTTCGAGGACTCGAATGTAAACCTAATGAAGAGTTCCTCCAATCACTTAACCTTTACCCACTAGAATATAGGTATCTTAGAGGTGACCTTTTAATGGCTTGCAGTATCTTGAACACTTCTGGACATCCTCTTAAACACCTACTTAATCTTAGTTCCAACACTAACCTCAGGGGTAACACCCAGAAATTGGAGATACAACATAGGAGAACGGACTGTAGATACAACTTCTACTCCTTAAGAGCTGTCAAAGCTGGAATTCGCTGCCGACTGAGCTAGTCCAAGCGACTTCTCAGGAGTCCTTCAAGAGGAAACTTGAACTATTCTTAAGGGCTAAGGACAGTATTGTAGCAGCAAATAAATCCCCCAAATAAATAGCTCTGTAAGTCTTTGACATTGGGTGCTGACCACATTAGTTTGAATGGGCTCACCTAACTGAAGACGCTCGGTCATGCATCCGCAAAAGATCACGAGTGAGAACGCCGTGTTCAACATCCTCTGTAATCCCTAGCCAGATTAGATCAGACGATCCGCGCTAATTTTAAAAAGGGCAGTGATTTTTGTACTTGTTGTGATTATACTTGCTTTTGGTACTTATTGCACTAAAAAGCATTCTTGGTCTACTTTAACTAAGAGTTCTTTGGTTAAAGTTTGAAATTTTTTGCTACATTTTGTCCTGGGTACCTGTTTTTAGTCCTTGACTAACACTTGTATTCACATTGTTATCATTTTTGGTTTTTAAAACTTTTAAATCGCATTACAATGGTTGGTAAGACTCACAAATGTGGGCAACCAAACTGTTTGTTCCCTGTGGAGGAGGGAAAGCAGTGTGACGAATGCCATAAGTGGTTTCACAAAATTTGCACCCGCTTAAGTCCCACCGCATACAAAAGATGCTCGAAGCCTAACTCACATTGGCTTTCCATGTTTTGCTGTGCCAACAAGGCATTACTAATACAGGAGGCTATGAGCCTGTTGGCTTTGGTCTGTAAAAAGAAGAATGGCATATGCGCCAACAACACGGGCACTGACAGCGACGAATGTGTCAGTGTAGTACCTGCTGTTACGCGACGCCTCAAACAACCGACTCTGACTGACGTAAAAGTGGAATCTTCGTTGACATTAACAGGGGGAGTAGTACCACCTGGTACTGACATTGTTAATAATGCACCTTTGATGGGAACCGAAGATCTGGATAAAACAGTCACCGTTTCAAATAGTCCCAGTTTTATGAGGGATGAAAAATGGAATACGGTACGTAGGATGCGAAACGAAAAGAAAAAAGCTGTAAGCAGTACACAGGAAGTTAGTAACTCCCTGGTGGACCCAAATTGTGAACCACAAATTGAAACCCATCCTGGCGTGACTGAGAAGAAAAATATAATAACATCGAATATTATTGTGAGAAAATTGCGGGAGTCAAACGACCCTGATCCGAAAATTAGACACGCGCATGACTTAGAAAAGCTAGGATAATACATTCGTAGTATTTTACCAGATAACTCCAAAGGAGTTCAGGTTAAAAAGTTGGTAAGAATAGGCAAGAGGACCGAGGACAATGTTGAACCCCGTCCATGCAGTCTCCTTAAGGTAATCCTGGGATCGGAGAAGCAACGGGATCTCTTGTTAAGTAGCGCTCGTTGTCACGACAATTCTGACATCCGAGTTAGACCTGACATATCTCTCGAAGATAGAATAAAGAGGAAGAAAGCACTAGCTGAGCTTGAAACCCGTCGGCAAAACGGCGAGAAAAATCTCCGACTAGTGGGTTTTCGGATAGTCAGGTCTTGGAAGCGAATGCTACCAAGGCCTGTGTGGATAGGCTGTTCTACCTAGGAGTTTTATATGCCAACGTTCGTAGTCTACGAAATAAGTTCTATGAACTAGAAGCACTTGTGGACAGATTAAAGCCACTCATTGTAGCAGTGACAGAAACTTGGTTAGTCGATGACTTAGACATTACTCCAGAATTATCCGGATACCATTGCATCAGGAGTGATAGACATAGATGTAGAAAAGGAGGCGGCGTCCTGTTATACATAGCCAATAGCATAAATATCTGCTCCTCTATTAGCAAATCCCATGATAGCGGTACTTTTGAAGTCATTAGCTGTAAGTTGGCTATAGGATGTAGTACATTTATGCTAGGTGTCATCTATCGCAGCCCAATCTGCCTAGCTGATGACTTTGTTTTAGAGCACATTCATCTTTGGAGTGAAAATACCAGATGTTTGATAATAGGAGACTTTAACGCACCTGATATTAGTTGGACTGATATGACCGCAGAAGGATCTATAAACTCCTTTGATAGTAAGTTCCTGATGACAATAATGGAGCATGCACTAGTACAGCGTGTATCCCAAAACACACGTTTTGGTGTTAACAAGGGTTCTTCTCTGCTGGATTTGGTAATCACTCATGAGACTGAGGATATTGTCGACTTAAATATTCTTCCACCGTTAGTAAACAGCGATCACGCTGTTTTGTCATTCGCGTTTAGAACTAGGGACATGTTATACGATCAGGTTACACCTCGCCCAAATGTATGGAAAGCTAACATATCAGCCATTCAGGAATGTGCTGCTAAGACAGATTGGTTAGTAGGTACTAGCATATCAGTTGGAGAAGCATGGTCTGTATTTAAAGGTAAATTTAGACTAGTTACGTCCCCGTTCATACCATACCTGGTACCGCGAAGACCGAATAATAGTCCACCATGGATAACTAAAACGGTCAGAAAACTCCTTAGAAAAAGGAAGAATTACTGGAATATGTTCATCTCTACTGGCTTAGAACAATACAGATCCAGTTACTGTAAGATTAGGAATGCCTGTAAAGCGTTAATAAGTAAAACTAGACTATCATACGAAAAACAGTTGGTTAGGGATTCTAGATATAGTCCGAAACGGTTATTCTCGTATATAAAAAGGCGAACTATGAGAAGTGATGGAATTCCATCACTTTTGATACGAGAAAATCCGTTAATCTTAGCAGAGAATGATGCCGAAAAAGCTGAAGCTTTATCGGAATACTTTAGTAAAGTGTTTTCTATCGGTAATGAGGAACGACCAATGATTCGTCGCGACCGTGACGGCTCGCTGATGGATCCTGTAGTCATTGAGAAAGATACTGTTTTAAGGCTACTTCAGCATCTCAAACCTGATAAGTCCAGTGGTCCCGATGATATTCATCCTAGGATTATGAAAGCCGTATCAGATGAAATTGCTGAACCATTAGCGATACTATTCGACATGTCTCTGAGACAGTCCAGACTTCCTAGAGACTAGAAAGACGCCATAGTAAGTCCGGTGTATAAGGCTGGGAGTAGGGATCTAGTTAGTAACTATAGACCCGTTAGCTTAACTAGTGCAGTTGTGAAATTGATGGAGAAAATCATTCGGATAGCTGTTATAAACTATGTTGAAGGGCAAAATCTTTTCTCCAGGGCACAACATGGTTTTCGGAAAGGCCTATCTTGCTTGACAAATCTTCTCATTGCACGAGAAGAGTGGGCTGCGGCAAAGGATCGGAATGCTCCTGTGGGTGTAATTTTCATAGATCTAAGTAAAGCCTTTGATAAGGTTTCCCACTCCGGTCTTAAATTCAAACTGAAACGTTTTGGAATCCATAACACAGTCGTCGATTGGATAAGTAACTTTCTCCATGACAGGAGACAAAGGGTAAGGGTTAATGGGGCTCTCTCCTCGTGGGTACCTGTAAAAAGTGGGGTTCCCCAAGGCACAATCCTAGGTCCTCTTCTCTTTTTACTTTATGTAAATGAATTGCCAACTGTAACAAAATCATCCGTTCTACTCTTCGCTGATGACATAAAGATTTGGAGACCCATACATAGTATGTCGGATAGGATAGTATTACAGGACGATCTTAGCTCATTGGTGGCATGGTTAGATAGGTGATCACTAGAAGTAAATCCTAATAAAAGTGTAGTGATGCAGTTAAATAACTCTGATGAATCGTATGACTATACACTACGTAGATTCGTGCTACCCAAAGTAAGAAACTATAAGGATTTAGGAGTCATATTAAGCAATGATCTCAAAACGACTAGTCACTGTAAGGCATCTTCAGCATCTTACTATGATTTACCAATTTCTTTCTCCTCTTTTATCGTTAATATACCTAGGTTCTTGCTTGAAGGTGTTGGTGATCCAGTGCTACTAGACACGGAAGCCCGTTAAGCGAAAGCCTCTTCTACTCCTGCTACAATCATTTGGACCATTTGAGGAGTAGACAAATCAGTTAATAGAACTGATCGTCGAGCAACATCCAGAGTTAGAATCCTCAGTTGTTTTAGGTTTGCAAGTAAAGGACTTGTATATCAGTTATCCAAGAACCGCTTTGCCCAATTCAAAGCAATAACGTAAGAAATATTCTGTCAATTACTTTTAGTCCATTTGACGACCTTGGTAGACGCGGGTTTTTGGTCACGACCGGTACCTCATGGAATCCCTAGTTAAGAAGACGTGCTATGAGTTAAAGGATCACGGAGTGCTCCACCACCATGGTGCAGAAGATCGTTGGAGCCTAAGTGTATTTAAGAAAAAATTCCACGTGGAAATTATTCGTCATGGCGAGGAGTCTGATACAATGGAATTCGATATGATTAATTTGGATTGCTCCTTCGCTAATGCAGTTCGGCGAATTTTGGTCTCTGAAGTTCCTTCTCTCGCAATAGAAAGGGTCTATGTTTCTCAGAACACGAGTATCATGCCGGACGAGGTTATGTGTCATCGCCTTGGCTTAATCCCACTCGCTGTTGACCCCAAATATTTTTTGTTCCCTACAAGAAAGCCTCCTGCTTCCGACGACCTATCAGGGTTTGACCCTAAAGAACACCTAGTATATGATATGCGCGTTGGTTTCACACATTCTAGCAAAGATTCCCATAATAAATCTGGAAAAGATAAGGATGACACTTTACCTGTGGCTCAGTATTTACCAGTGTACAGGTTGGTTGGTTTTTATATTTCCCTCACAGTTACATTAGTTTCTCATGCACAAGAAAGCCATTTTGGTATACGTTGTTACAAAGTTTCTAGTCCAAGTTAATTCACTGTTGACTCCTATTCGGATAATTTAGAAAATAGCAAGTTTTCGCTGTTCATCCTTAAACAACAATAATCATCCCTTTCCTGTATTAGGCTTTTAAGTGGTTGATTAGTATTTGTGTACCACGCTTGCGATATAATGCCATTTGGTAAGTCTAATTCACTATAGTCCGTAGAAAATCATATCTTCACCGAATAAATTTCAGTCATCCCCACCGTTTTCCCATCAAACTAGATTTGTGTTGTGCTGTTACACATATTCTCAATGACTTGTTCTCGATCAGCGTGACCGGTTTTATCATTAGTACTCAGACGCCAATCCATTCCACTACTCAATACATTTACTCTCATATATGTTCATCCAACTTTTTCTCCTCTACTTTTTAATGGTTGTACTCATCTCGACACATTGACTTTTGCATTTTGCTCAAGTACAAATTAGTGTGAAATTTGCTGTTAGTTATGATCTACGTACATAACAACTGTAGTGATAAAACTGGATGTCTGATAATCCTGAGTTGTTTTTTAAGTGATCTACTTACTAGCGTGAAATTAGGATGAAAGAATATTTAATTTTTCTGTCTTACCAGGGACCACCCAACTTCTGATGATCGACTAAATGCTCTAGAAAATACAATCTACAGCTCTTGACGTAGTTGCGAATTCATCTGAATCTTGTCCTATTCCCCCCTACACTAGGACTGCTTATGTTCTAGTGGACATGACTGAACTGTTAGAAAAATGACTCCGAGAAATTTATTATAAGCTTGAAGTATTTCAGGTACAATTGTGTCCTTTTGTTTCAGGCTGGTAATAAGATTATGGTAAGTTTTCCAATCTCACCAATTTTAGAAACAGTTATACAAGAGTGTATTCTGTTGGTAGTGTAAACTGAAACGGTCGGACTTTGGTGATGAAATTAATCGTCGTATATTAAGACTTGAAATGGCATCCGATCCCTCCTTTACAGTAATGGGATGCTAGCTTGCTAAGGACGACCAATGAACGATTTTATTGCGTATGCGATTTACTCGTTCTACACTAAATACCAAGTCAGTAATTAATCTACCACGCGTTAACAACTCAGATTAAAAACACGTAGTTCGTCTGACTAACACGCGTATTAATCGATCCAGAAGATTCAAAGCTTGGGACAATGACATCAAATATCTGTCGGACCATCTGTCCATCTATCTGAAAACAACAACTAATTACTGTCTACATTGACCCATGCAACAGAACCCGAAGCGACTCATTCCATTTTAAAACTCCTTTGACTGCTAGATTAACTTTGTGCGGTTAAGTTCAAAACGTTTTGACGCACGTAATTTCTGAGTTTTGGATTCTCAAAGGTTTTCCAGATTTGTTCATCGCTGTTCCTGAATAACTACCCAGATTCGGGAACGACATCATATTGGTATTGTTAAAGTTGGACAGCATACTTAAAAAATCATTATTCAATCGTTGATGTTATTTCGGAACACTGGCTATAGTAGGTCGAGTATATAACACATTGTTTATAATGGGTTTCATTACCAAACGCTTTTTACTAAAACAGCATGAGGAGCGTAGGTGTCATTAACAAGGTGTGATTTCATAATTTCGAACAAATTGAGCATTGGGTTGATTGTTATAAATAAAATAATATATTTGTAATATCCCAATGAATAGAAAATTGGATTTCCCGACGTTTCGTGACTTAGTGTAAGTCACTTCTTCAGAGAATAAATAACCAAATTAAAATTAATCCAAGTTTAAATAGTACAACGGAACAATGCAAGAATAATATTTGATCAATCAAAAAACAGGTCTGAACAAGTTGATGTCATGTCATTTCTGTCAAGGTGATTCATAAGCGATATGTATGTAAATTTGTGTGTATGTATATGTGCATTGTTTAAGAATGAAAACTTGTGTGACCTTTATGGTAAAAAAGGATAGAGTTTAAATTTGTAATATGATCGTGTGAAATTGTAAATACGATCAGACTGAATGGTTAGGATAGATGGTCCACGTAGGGTGTATGGTAAGACCTTCCTTTCTATTGAGAGAAGTAGGATTAAGCATTATATGGAACGCCTCAGCTACCCTAATTTCTTTGTAGTTGGAAAAGCTTTTTTACAATATTATGATATTTTTAAAATCGATTTGCTGGTTGTTGAAAATGGCATGAACTGCTATTGCCGATTTAATTTGAAGTTGGTTCAATTCTCCAGGATTGTTAGGAGGTTTCTTTGTGTACCTAATATGTTATTTGGCTCTAGTCACGATTTCGCGGGATGACTCTCCAATATAATAGGCATCACAATCGATACAACCTAATTTGTAGACGCAGTTCTGTGTAGACATGAAAGGGATTTTGTCTTTCAGGCGAACTAAAGTATTACGTAGTGTGTCCGTTGTTTTGTAATACACTTTGATTCTGTGATGTTTTAAGATTCTTTGGATTTCTTCTGTTGTGCCATGACGGTATGGTAGAACTACAGTACCAATCCATGGCATTTCATTCGAATCATTATTATAATGTAATAAACTGTTTTGTTTTAATATGCTTCTAATAATCTTCATAGGAAAATTATTAAATTGTAAGATGCTAACTATATTCATTTGTTCTTTTTGTTTGTCTTCCTCTGATGTGATGATCTTGTTAGCTCTTCTAAAAAGATTCAAGGCTAGCGAGATCTTTGCACTGAAAGGATGTGCTGAATGGAAGTCAATATAAAGATTTGAATGTGTCGGTTTTCCGTAAATGGATAGGTTTAGACTTCCATTTGGATTTCTTTTTACTAAGCAATCCAAGAATGGTAGCTCACCATGTACATTTTCATTTTCATTCGTGAATTTGATGTGCGATGAAAGTGTATTTATTCGTTTTGAAAAAGATCTTAGATGAGTCTTTTTTATAACAACAAATGTATCGTCTACATATCTAAGCCAAATTCGTGGTATAATGTTGTGGGCGAAGATATTTGATTCTATGTATGCCATAAAATGGTTGGCTACCATCGGCGACACGGGGGATCCCATCGCTACACCGTTAGTTTGTTTGAATAACATACCGTTAAAAGTAAATAGCTTTGAATTTAAGCAAAGTTTTAAGGATTTCATGATTAGACTGATGCTCAACGGACATCTGTCAGGAAGAGTATTGTCGTTCTCAAGTAAACCACTAATGAATTCTAAGCATTTATCAATGGGAACACTTGTGTGTAAAGAAACGACATCAAAGCTTACCATGATTTCATTCTTCTCGATAATTAATCCGGATAATTTTGATTTAAAGTCATATGTGTCTTTAATTATATTATGTAAGTTGAGTTGCATTGGTTTTAATACACTTCGCAAACACCCCAACATATGCATTATCAAAATATTTAAGCTTTTTTGTTGTGCTCTCCATGAATAGTAATGTGTACCCTTGAAATACACGGGATGTGTTTTTTGCTACTTTTACTTATAGGTGATTTCCCTTCTCATCTCTCAGAAATACCATAAAATCCTAAGGCATTCTGTGCTTTTAAAGTGGCTTATTCCTGCTACTTGTTTGGTCATAATCCCTAAAATAGTTAACTATCTGCTATTTCCCCCACCTGAAGAGTTACATTTGCGACAGTGATAGTCTGTTAGAACACGTCGTCGTTACGAAGCACTTGGCTAACCATAAAATGTAGTTATTACAGGATGAATACACTAAGAGGTTGTTATTCTGGTAATCATTACTACATTCGGCGCTTTATTTCTATGTAATGACACGTAGTGCTTATAGTGCCTGTAAAATTTTCGTACCAGAAACAGATCAACCCGTAATTTACAAAAAAAACTATTGGCATACGAAACAAATGTATTAATGGTGGCATCAGTTCATGAATTTGACAATCGAACTGAGCCTTGTGGTTGGGTGTGAACCGCTTGGTTGGGGCCCATCCTAACCCGTAGTTAGAGATTTTGAATAACATGGCTCAGCATAATTCCCAATGGCGCAAATGAATCCACTTCTTGCCTTCTTTCAAGTTCTGAGTTCCGTTATCTTCTTATGCATTTCTTATTTTCGACATCTAGTCTTTTATACTACTAGTACTACTGTTAATCTTACTACTTTGGGATTTGGTTTGATAATTTATTTCTTCTGTGCTAATGTGATGTGGCAACTTGAACTGATACGTGTGCCAGGCTCTACTTTACCTATGGCTGGTTGAGACAAAGTTGAGATTAAAACACTGAAGTAGGCTGTGAGTACGAAATACTATTTATTTTATTTATTTGTTTGAACACATAAGTATTGGTGCAAGGGGGTACCAGATACATGTGCACCACACAAATCGCATTTGGTTTGTGTGAGGGCTGTGATACTGTCCGGGTGCCCAGACCGAAGCAGGTGGTTTTCTTAGGGGGCCACACCCGGAGCCTTTGACCTAAATGTCTGCCCCAAAAGGTAGTGGAGCATCGTAAGATGTATTCATAGTTATATAATATGCTCTTGTGGGCCAGAATAATTTTACATTGGTTTTCAGGAGAACCAGACACCATCCAGACTTTCACGTGACAACCCAAACAGTACATCTCAATCCCGTTTAACAGGAGAGCCAGACACCTCCCAGGCTTAAATTTTATAACCCGAGCAGTACGTCTCAGTCCCGCTTCACAGGAGAACCAGACGCCGTATAGGCTTTAACGCTACAATCTGAATAGCACAGCTCAATCCTGTGGTGCAACCACACAGGTACCAAGCACCCTGGACTACTAATCTAAATCGTGCTTTAGAAGTGATGACGTTACAATATTATCACCTAGCGTAAAAATCCACTAATATAGGTATTACATTTCTACTTGTGTCACACTAAAACTAACCGAGTACTAGGTTAGCGTTAAGTAAAAATTTAGCAGGTTTTGAAATATTTGATGCTTGTTACACACAAAATGTTGCTCCAAAACTGTCTTGCATTCACCTTCAATATAAAAATCAGATAATAAAGCAGTTTAAATTGTCGCTGATATCATGTGTTCAATTCTGTATATCCACCGTAATGATAAATGAAATCTTTTCGTGTTCTCCACATCCACCTATCACGTAGCACCAATAAAATATTGGACCACTATATCAACACTATAGTGGGTAAGTGAGAATTAACCGACTCCATAATTTGATTTTTGCTTTAAGCCAAACCATAAAGTTGGTTACTAGTGAACGACAAGCATAAAAAATATGCACTTCACAAAAGCCTTATTTTGAACACTTTGATTTTTAATAGTTCGGATCTCAAGTGGATACCACTAACTGGTCAGGAGGATCATTTTAATATCAATAATCCTCCTATCCCAGTATCATCAACAATACTTATCAATAAATTAGCTCTTGGTGATGAAATCGAAGCTCGATGTGTTGCAGTGAAAGGAATTGGTCGGGATCATGCTAAATTTTCACCCGTTGCAGCAGCTTATTATAAATTTCATCCAATTATCAAACTTCTTCGTACAATTGAAGGAGAACAGGCAGTTAAGTTGCAAAAAAGTTTTGCATCTGGTGTGATTGGAGTAAGTATTTACCTTAAATGATTTATCTTACCAGTCCTTTCATCTGATATTCAGCAACTAGATATGATCAATAAGGCTAGTCCCATAGCCCTGTACATAAACATATAGACAGTTACCTGGTAAAACAAGCGTCCATATTTTAGAGTGCTGAAAAGGAGAAACCAATAGATTATCTAAGCTGTTCGTTTATTTTCTTGTTTATTTATTTATTTGAACACATAAGAAAGCACCAGATATATATGCGCCACACAATTAAAGTGAAATGGCAATGCTTATTGGATATACTACTCGCACCCCTATTACAATTCCAATAACCCATACCCATTTGATAACATTCACTTTTATTTTTCTATTTTCTTGGGCCAATCTAGAACAACGTAATGTCTTGATTGTTATTGACGGTCACTATCAAAAGCAATTTAGAGCATCCTACTAGGATCTACTGTCTTACATAGTCTCATATCTTTCCAGTCGTTTTCCAACTCAGTCACAAGATGGATAATTTTTTGTGACGTCATAGTCATGTAGTGATTGATCGTTGGACAAATAAAGGATTCGATTTTTAAGCTCCGCTTAATTTATTTTAAGGGGCTGATTACATCAATGCCTAACATACAACATGCATAACTAAAACCCTGATATCGGCATGCATTTTCAACTTTTTACTGAACTACATTTATACTCATCTGTTTGGTTCTGCTTCTATATAATATTTCGATAATGTAATGAGAAGACGTAGTTGTGTTATCGAAATTTATCAATGGGACTAATTGTTTTATATAATACTTATTTATTTTAATTATTTGAACATAAATATTGATACAAAGGGGCACCGAATACATATGCGCCACACAAGTCACTTGATTTGCGTGTGGGCTATGATACTGCCCGAGTGCCCAAACCGAAGTAGGTGATTTTCGTAGGGAACCACACCCGGAGCCTTGGACTTGAAGATCTGATCCACAAGGCAGTGGAGCAACGTAAGGAAATGCAGTCCCATGGTAGCCTGTCACCAATGATTGGTTCATACGCCATTTCTTTCTTCAGGATACTGGAGCCCATGTGCACCATTGGTTTGGAATCAGGGTTTTCCAAACCTTCTAGATGAATCCTCAATGTCCAAAGCGCCAAACATTCGCTTTTCATCCTCTCAATGCCCCCACCACGAGGAGGCAGTGAGTAGGACTTTCTTGGCAGTGGCTGTATACGCGTGGCCATGTGAGAGCATTTCGAGAGGGCAAGCAAACTCTCCCTACTCCCGGCCGCATCAGGGCATTTGGGAGCTAATATATCACGCTGGGAGGCGAACCCGAGCCCCCTGGTTGAAAGCCAGAAATCCTAACCGCTATTGTATTTTTTGACCATACAGATAATTTAACAAGCCTTACTAATCTTTGGAAAAGTCTCTTCGTTGTTGACGAGACTAAGAAGCAAATGAAAATTATTTACGAGCACTTGTATTCTAGTCTTGTGGGCGCATAACCGAATCATTGGGTGATATGTGCCTTTCTATTTTGTAAAGTGCACTCCCTACCTAATGATATGTTTTATTTTACACTATGATGCCCAATTTAGTAAAATTAATCTTTTTTAACGTATAAAGACTATTTCGCAGGTAAAATAAAGTATTATCCAGTTCTATATTCTCAATATAAAGTGACTGAATTTAGAGGTGGAATCCAACAAAAAGTTACACCTACTAGCTGTATTTTACATTTCTTTTTATCTTAGATAAACTCAAAAACTGGTCAAGCCTTTGTCGATAATGCTCGTTTAGATAATGGTTCTCGAGAACATATGCGTCATCCTGAATTCCGTGACGATGTTATTTTCGTTGGGATGGATTCATCACATTGTATTTTCACTGTTGAAACGATAGCTCCTGGTAGCCGCCCTCCATCATCATTAGTCCGTTGTGCTTTAGGTGTTATGATTAGCAAATGTTCACATTATATGGCTGTTACAGAAACACCTGGTTTTGGAGATCACGTTGAGGAGTGTAAACCACTCATTGATATACCTAAAGATAACACTGAAAGTCATACAACTGAAAAAAATCTAGTAAGTCGTAGTATGTCCTTTTGTAAATTTTTTTTTGAAAATAAAGAAATTCGGCATATCTCAAGTTTCAAAAAACAGGAATATTTATTATTATTATTATTACTATTATTATTAATTATTGCGTCAGGTGTTTAGTGTTTTCTTATCCACTGAGTAGTCCAAATAGCGGCTTACTTGTATTGAGTATATAAGTGTGATATATATTACTAGCTAAATATTGATCAGCACTATATGTCGCTTCTAGTTTATCAATAAAATCTACCTGTCTAAAAGTACAATGTGAGCACCGAGCTAAGCAACATGCTTTTATGTTCCATTGTAAGATAGTTAAGCATATTTGTAGCTCTCAATTAGGATTTCGAAGATGTTTGACCCTATAAGTGAGTTTTTCGTTGTCCTTTTAGACGACATCATCAGCGGATACTTTGAAAAGCCGTGAGCTGTTAAAATTCCTTCATGACCAACTAACAGGTTGGTCTGATGACCTAAAGCAGAAAATGCTGTTTACCATAATTTACATCTAATGCAATTTATGAATTTATCAAAAGGATATATCCACTGAAAAAAAGTAAAATGAAGATATATTTATTTTCAATGGACTTTACAACGGATGATTAGTATAAGTATGAACTAAGTGACAGGTAATCAGCAAATATTAATCGAAATTGTAGATTATTCTTTAAAATTATGATGAACAGGTAAGTGAATAGTCCTAGGATTAAAGCAAGTAAAACTGTTATCGCACCCAAAGAATAAAAACAAATACATTAAAGTGGATTGTTTGGGAAGTTCTTGAAGTCAGAAAACCGACCTTAGTTCAACAACTATTGGAAACCAAGAAACATTGGACACATGTTTCATCCCAGAACGAAACTCTTCAACAGTGCGCATCCACGAACTCACATAACGTAGTCTAATTCGAGACCTTCATGTTTCGTGATGAGCCCTTGGATTACTGAGCTAGAACCCAAAAGCTTACATTGTTTAACTTCAATAACTTGCGATACTGTGCAACAAGTAACTCCCCCCCACAGATGCAACGCGTTTGAGTCCCACTGGTTATGGAAGTGACATAGTTGTTAAGCAGTTCAACATGAATACACTACGTATGAGATAAGAGCAGTTCTATCAATTCCCTCCAAATGTGAGCGATCCTATCTAATATGAAGGATACCAGTATTTTCAATCCTACATGGTAGATGTATGCGTAAATTATCTGAAAAGTTGAATGATACTGAATAACTTGAAGGGTCTTGTTTATTTCAATTTAATGCTCAGTATCAATTAGACGAGCTAGTATAGAGCTCTTGGTAACCATCAAAATATTCATGTTAACCGTAGGGATGATTTTATCTTTAATAACTCATCAATTTTCTTACATATATTTTAGCTATTAAGCATAAGTTTCTTTGTGTACTCGTAATTTTATTAGTTCATTTGTTTGTTAAAAAGTGATTTTATACAAAATCTAACCCTGATAACATTTGTATCCGTTTCCATATTATCGATAAAAAATTTCCTTTTTTTAAATCATCCATTCTTAATTGGTAACAGTATGAGTAAACGAATGGATTAAGGTTTTTCCAACTTTGTGCAGATGTTGCCTGTTTCTTTAATCTTACTAACAGCTGAATTTCACATTTTATAATGTTTTGATAGCATGTTTTATTGTAATTCTTGTTTGAAAACTAACTATTGATTTATTTGAAATTACAGTTATTTCCTAAAGGTAATCGTAGTCATCTAAATGGACGTGAAGTTGGGCTTGAAGTAGTGCATATCACACACGACAAATCACGTGCAACATTTACTTTCTTTGGAGAAGATCATACATTAGGTTTAGCGCTTAGATATTGCATTCTACGAGAGTAAGTCTCCTGGTATACTCGTCATATTTTTTTCATTTGTACTGTTTTGTCAGTATGCGTATTGAATTTTTATAATATAACTATAGGCTGTTCTATGAGTATTTTATTCATATCAGTGTTGTTAATCATCGTTAATAGAAGATCTTGACACGAATGTGTATCAGCCTAAGTTGCTACATTTTACATCAGCAAAGAAGAGAAAATCATATATACTATAACGGAAATCTAAATATGAGAAATCCACTGCATGAGGAACAAATAAAATTAAAGAATGGAAAGTCAAGAATAATACTCAGTATTCAGAAAATAGAAAGTTCATGTAGCTACGTTATAGTGTATGCTAATTATTCTGACAGATAAACAGTATGTAGAAGCAATCGGAAGTAGAATGTCTTTCAACAGAAAATTGGACAGGATGGGAATCAGAGAGCAACTGTAATAACAACAGAATTGGAAGAATCATGAAGCATTTAAAGGGCGATTGAAGGAAGATGTGTAAATAATGTATTTAACGTATGGGTTTTTTTCATATTTTATGACGACACTATAATTTTGCATGGAAAAAAATAAATTCGTTTTCTCCACCTCCGTTTTAAGCCATGCCACCTGTCTGCAAACATAAATCATGACAATTTCTCATGTCTCCAATCAATAAGTCCACACTTGCTGACGTAGTTCAGTCTAGATAACCAGGTTTAGATCCTGTGGTAGATTATGCTGTGGTCGTGAGCTAGTAATATTCAGAAAACGGATATTCATGGAATAATGAATAGTTTCGATAAAGAATCTGCTCCAAGTGTTCGTATATTTTGTAGAATACATGTAAATCAAGATCATAACTGTATATTTGAGTAATGTGTAATTCTACCTTCATAAACTGGTTTCTATTCAAAAACAACTGAGCTTTCAATGAACAATAAACTACTTCTATACTCTGTTAGCGTGGCATGTCAGTACAGTGTTTATTATCAAGCTATTCGGTTAATTAAAAAAGCGATATTAGTTAGTAAAGACAGGACTTTCGAAATTAAGAGTTTGACTGTTACACCCTACCCCCTCAATAGGTCAATCTTAACGCACTGATTACAAAACCTGAAGATCACGTAGTTAATGTCCTAAATGATGAATATTATTTACTCCTAGTTTTCACTAATTCCTCGAATTGTGGAATATCTGTTTGATTTCCAAATCCGATTTCCGATACTATATAACTAATTTTGTTAATCATAAAGAAACCAAATAGTACAACAAACTGTAAAAATCTATATCACCAAACTTCGTCTATGATGGTCAACAGTAGCATGTTCATGTGCCATCAGGTTTTTAGGTTCTGTTGTATAGATGATGAACAAACTGCAAATCAGTAGATAGAATTTTGACAGATTTTAGCTGTCATTCAAATAATGTGGTTCTGTACAAGGAATTATGTCTTTTTTATTCGTCTTCTTTAAACAACTTGATCTAATGGTATTTTATGATGTCTTTTTAAGTTTCAGTTATACTACATAGTTTAATATGTTTCACTCTCCTTCTATTCCAGTGAGTCAGTTAGCTTTTGCGGTTATTGTGTACCCCATCCTTTAGAGGATATGATTAATTTCGACATTCAAATGAAAAGTAAGTTATTTTGAAAACTCGGCTTTATTGAACAATGTATGAAATATGTATATACTTCAAACTTTCTAAAGAATTATCTTCCCTTAAAGTTAATAGTATGTGATCTATTCTGTCGTCAGATAAGAATATCACCAAAGATTTCCAGGTGAGAAGAACAAGTTAACCAATGGGATCGTGAGTGTGTATACGAACTAAGATAAGTAAATCACACCACCCAGTCATTGTCTATTTTGATACACAAGGACGATATGAGTAAGAATATTTTGAGAATAATTTGAAAAAAGTTATTCTATGATATAAATCCAGTGTTTAAAACCACTAACTATTGGTTCTAGTTGTATGTGAATGTGTAAATATGTTCCTTATGATTTTAGAAGCTAAGAGCTGGAGATCTCTAGGTGGTGTGATATGTAGTAGTAGGTCGAATTATTTCTTATCTTTTAATTCTCACCCGTCTTATTACATTCTGTTAACTTTCTCATCTCCATTTATGTCATTTCTTTATACCCATTCCATCCGTACTTTAATACATGTTTAGGATATAATTACCTAAATATTGTAGTATAAATCTATCAATCTATGTTGAGATATTGAAACTTAACATTTACTTCATTAAAATTTTAAACCGATCTAAGTTAGATCTAGAACGAGGCGATCGTTGAGTGCTTCCGGCTCTTCAATGGTAGTCTACCTTACATCGGTTCAATATTTTAATGAAACTCAACAATCTCCGAAACCCTATAATTTCAACGAATGTTTGTGTTTACTACACTGTACTTGTGTTCTGTTTTATTTATTTACTTAGTTAAATGCATAAGCATTGATACAATGGAGTACCAAAATATACATGCGTCATACAATGTATTTATCGTTTAATTTTTGTGTGAGCTGTTGTATTCTTGGGGTGCCTAAACTGAAACAGGTGGTTTTCCTGTGGGTCATCCCTTGGCTTTTGACATTCAGATCTAGTCCACAAGGCAGTGTGGCAACATAAATGTGATACCATCTTAACCAGTGACTAACGATAGTTTCATACTCCATTTGTTCCTTCAGGATCCCAGAGCCCATGTGCACCATTGGTTTGGAATCAGGTTATTTGTGTACATGTACAAGATCTTGACTTAGTGGTTATGCGTTCGAATCCCCTACATCGTTAGCATATATGTGAAATCTAGTAGCACTAATACTTACTATTCTTAGTGGGACTGAATTCGAATGTAGTATCTATTAGTTGACGGTCAAGTACCCAGTCATATAATCAATTTTTAAGCATAACATAGCATTCATTCATCAAATAAATGAGAACCTATATGTTTTTTAAACACTTCAGAAGGTTCAGCTATCGATGCTCTACGAAATGGTCTCCAATGTCTACGGGATTGTTTTCAACATATGAAGCAAACATTCATATCAGCAATGAAAATTTCAAGAAGTACTAGAAAATCATCATAATGAGTTGTTTTTCTTCTTTTCAATTGTATATTTTCGTCTCGATTTTGTTAGACTATTTCTAATACTGTTGCAAAAACAGAAACTGTACAAAAACAATTCAAAAGTCGAGAAAATTATAATACTAATAACGATAATGTGAAAGTATAATGTGATTTTTCTAGCTCAACTAACCTAAACAAATATTTCCAGAAAAAAGTCAAAACAATGCTTTGAACCATGCGTATGAAAAAGCACAAGAACTTTCAACAGACTACAACTTTTGTGGTTGCTAAAGTTTACTGATTGATATGAAGAGTTCGTTTGTAAATTATGTAACTAGGTAGTTTTTGATGGGGGAGAATATGTCTTCTTTTATAGACAGTTAGCTCATCCTTAATTAAGTAATCTTTGAGTAGTTTCAGTACAGTTATCTGTTCAGAAGTCACATGCATATATGCCAAGACAGAAGTAAGAATGACGTATCGGTAAATTTAGACCTATTTGACACTAGAAATATATTCGCATACTATTACAATACCTTTCATTTGTGCTTCACATAGTTGATCACTCGAGTTTTGAGTGAACTAATTCAGTCAAACGTAAAACTACTTGGTCGACAATTTATTACATGCAACTCGTTTGTTAATTTCGTGAGACTGAACATGTCATAAACAACACGGGTAGCTGATTGGCTACGACAAACATTTGAGCTTTTCCCTAAGCAAATGCAATTTCGCTTCTTCTGGTGGTCGACTGGATTACGAAGGCCCCGACATTGGAGAGGAGACACGGAATACAATGGACAGATCGGGATCAATTAGGAGATTTGTAATTCTCAGATAACCTGTCCCTTCTATCCCATACACGCGAACAAACACAAATGCAGACACCTAATGTAGTAGCATTCTCTGCACCAGTAGACTTCAACATACACAAGGTGAAAACCAAGATCCTCAAATACAACACGGAGAACACCGACTCAATGACACTTGGTGGAGGAACTCTTGGAAATGTGGAGTTTTCCATGTACCTGTACAGTACCATCGATGAACATGGAGGATCTGGTGCAGACGCAAAAGTAAGGACTGGCGAAGTAAGGGTTGAATTCCTACAGTTAAAGATCATATGGAATTAAATCAACTGTCGACCAATATCGAAGTCACAATCTTCAATACGAACATCTGTATTGGAATTGGGCCGTAACGACACAATCCTCGTAACTGAACACGAAACAACTGGGGAAATAGTTATTCAACATTTAAGAGAAGACCCAACGATGGAGAAGGCGGAATTAATGAATCGAATTAATTCGAGTTGATCGGATATCATGGCTCAACCTCGTAGGCATGGTTGCTACTCATATTAAATATATTGTTCTACCTCTAGCCTGGATGTGTTCTCCATCATATGTTGTTAATTGTTACGATACGATGTGTCAGTGTAGACAATGATGTGGTTTCCACGTAAGATTTTATAGATTAGGCAATTATGTCATGACAAATCTGCAATTTTAGGATTAGGTCTATTATTAGAGCAGTACTGGTAGTACTTTCTCCATTTATGTTTAACTTCATCATAGACCTACTAATGAAAATAATATTCTCGTCGACTGAATTCTCGGGTATTGACCTCCTTCCAGGAGGTCCACTTATCGACTTAGAATACGCAGATGACATAGTCCTGTTTGGTGAAGACGCTGACAAAATGCAGAGTCTTCTGGTAGCACTAAGCAACAATGCCAGGATGTTTGGAATGCGCTTCTCTCCCTCTAAATGCAAGTTGTTGCTTCAGGACTGGTCTGCGTCAACACCTGAACAAAGGATAGGGAGTGAAGTAGTCGAACGCGTTGACAACTTCACTTATCTTGGAAGTCTGATCAGCCCTAATGGGTTAGTATCGGACGAAATCTCAGCACGAATTCGAAAAGCTCGTTTGGCTTTTGCCAACTTGCGTCACCTATGGCGAAGGCGAGATATCCGTCTATCAATAAAAGGACGAGTATACTGCGCGGCAGTCCGTTCTGTTCTACTTTACGGCAGCGAAACATGGCCATTAAGAGTAGAAGACACTCGTAAGCTATTAGTATTTGACCACAGATGCCTTAGAAATATTGCTGGCATCTGCTGGGATCACCGGGTAAGTAATAGTGAGGTTAGACGCAGGGTATTAGGGAATGATGGTAAATCAGTTGATGAGGTTATGAATCTTCATCGACTGAGATGGTTGGGCCACGTGTTACGTATGCCTGAACACCGATTACCACGACGTGCAATGCTATCCGGTTTTGGAAATGGTTGGAAGAAAGTTAGGGGCGGCCAAACCAAAACGTGGCATCAGTGCTTGAAGTCACTAACTTTTGGTGTGAGCCATGTTGGTAGATGCAGACTACTTGGTTGGGGTCCGCGTGACTATCGTAACCAATGGTTGGAGACTCTTGGTGACATGGCTCAGAATCGATCACAATGGCGTCGGTGTATACACTCCCTGTCTTCCCTTAAACTAAGAGATTAAAATCACTTCATATCTTTCTTTCTACGAACTAATTCTTTCTTCCTGTACTGTATCCTTATATGCAATCTTTCTCCTATATATTACCTCCTTTGACTTAACCACTCCTATGAATCCGGTGTTTATCTTGCTGTGCTAATGAGGTATGGCAACCTGGACCGATGCACATATGTGCCTGGTTCTACGTTGTAGCTGACTGACTAGTATCATAGTAGACCACAATTCTACACATCAGTAGTTCTGTTGTAAGGAGCTGAAACGTGGGGAACTATCACAACCATCACCAAATATGTGCAAGTATTTATCACCAGTTCTCTACGCAAGTTACTCAATATCCGTTGACCGGGAACCACCATATCTAATAAACTGCCAAGCACGAACTTAGATATGGATCATCACCGCAGTCTATATTAGTCTTCTTGTTACTGATAAAGATATACTGAAAGTGACAAGTTCCTAGTAAACAATTTCAGAAAATGCTCAATGTTATTATCATTATTTATAAACACACTATCTATATGTAAATATTGTAACCATACGTAAGAGTTCCACTAATGTCTTCAGAATATTCGCTATATGTTAACAGCCTTGCAATATGATGGAGAATATTAAGTTGACGTCAAAAACTGTGTAAATGTTTCAATAACTATGCTCGTGAAAAGTATAGGGATAAACAGTATTATCAATGCAACCCGTAGAATATAAAATAAATCATCATTGTTGTAAGACTTGATAGTAGGATAACAGTTTAAGTAGTAACGATTCATGAGGATGCAATAAATATCATAATTAAAAGCAGGGTGACGATGTAAACTATAAATTTTTAAGGACAATATGTTCGTGGAGAATATAAAAGTTGATTCTTTTTTGTTAGTATGACAATATTCTGTGTTTCTCAATCGGAAATCCCAGAGAAATGAGCCAAGAGATGTCATGAAAGTACTAAAAAGTATAGACAACGTTGGACTTTGGATATTATATGAGAAATTCAGATGTTTTACTTCTTTTTACAGTTATTTAAATATACACCAAACATTACTCATGTAAATTATTATTCACAAAAATCTTATGGGTACATATGTTTTGCGAAGAAACCATTTCGGGTTTCTTCAAAAATGCAATTACACAACTTTCAATAATCTTAGCATTAGATCAGCCATAATGGAATAATAGTAAATCAGTTCCTGTTTGAGTTGACTTTAAAGAGGGAAAGGGAGAAAATAAGGGAATAGAAATAAAGGAGACGCGAAATACGTAAATAGTTTATTAAGCGTGTTTGTAAACACAACAAAAATAAGCGACTATGTATCTGCAAATGAGTAACATAAGTAAACTAAAGCAAAACAAGTAAGAAAAATAACTTATTATTGCAGTAAGATATGACGTTATAATAAGTGTTTGCGCAGTCGTAGACTGAGGTGTTGCTATTAAAGTCTCAATTAAGTGCAAAGGATAACCAAATATCAATATGTGTGAGTAGTGTGTAGCGTGACGTCGAGTCCCAGTTGACTATGTATAGTGTCAGTCATTATTTAAGCCCATATATCTTATTCTATCTTGCGGACATTCCATTCTATTCATTCTACTTGAGTCACATTTTGACATTGTCAATTATTCGATTATCAGTCTTGACTGTTTTAATATGAGCGCATATGTGTGTACACTTCATGTCCCATGACTCATCACACGTCTGTAGCTTATTTTTGTCTGCCTATAAATATTGAGTAACGCTTGACTAAAATGGAGTTGCCTTCCCAGCCATCTTCCCTGCGTGTCATTTAGCTTTGCTCTGTTTCATTCGCTTCATATACAAAATATATGTATTCACAAATCAATTCTCGTTATTCGACTTATTTAATTCCGTTATTGACTAACGTGATTTAAGTCGACGATGATATATGAAAAAAGACGATAACAATCATTTATACGATCTAAATAGGAGTCAGATCCACGGGACACTGAATATAAATACCACTATAAAGGAATGCGTGCCAGGATATCCATAAAATCCCCCGGAAGCCAAATATCGGAAGACAGTTAATGGACCAAGTTGAGATATATTTGCTGGGGATCTCATGATATCAAAAGAATACCGAGATCGTGCCAGGATACAATCTGGGTTACAGAGCGTAACCGAATTCGCGCGAGTTCACAATCAAAGTGTGTTTAATGGATGTTTTTAGCACAGTTAAACAAAGAGCACATTAAACAGTCACTGGTACAATTGGTCATAATAATAATTGCATTCATAAAACCAGTTGTGTTCTCGTGATAAAAATGAGTCACTACAAGTGTATACCTAGTGAAGAAAATACGAGACTGAGAAGTAAATTTGAATGTAAAACAAGTTATTGTCTTAATTACAAACTTCGGAATCTTGTGAATAATATTTATTTAGAACGAAAAGTAAGAGAGAAAAGAAATAAAGACCTAGTGAATGGTTGTTTGTTTGTTCTCTGAATAATTGGCTCGCACTATGTCACGAAACGTCAGAAAATCTAATTTTTCTACCTAGTGAATGTGTTCAAGCATGACAATTAGAGTGTAATGAATATCGACCTCTGAAGCAAATCATTAATTTTGTTGGATTTTAGTGCACTCGGATGAATACATGTAAAGTTATATTCTTAGCAAATAAACTGAT